GTGAGTTCAATACCTGGCCATAGCTCAGGTGAAAAAAATCTTAGAGAGTTGAGTCAAAGGAAGATAATTGATACTGAGACATTCAGACGAGTCATGGAACGCGGATCAATCTACCCCGGGGGACAAAATAAAGTTTTCAGTTCGAAATTCCAATGACCTGAAGAAGGCCGCAGTGTAAAAGTCCCGAAACATCGTGAATATGCCAACAAAGATGAGTACAACTGACCGAACAATGTAAAAATTTACTTACTGTAAATTAATATCCGTAATTCAATTATTTGTCGTCGTTCATGTCCACTTTTCAAAGAAATTTTACACATACACACACACATATGTATATATATATGCACACACACATATATATGCATAGAAACATACATGCATACATACATGTATATGTAAGTGTGTGTGTGTGTGTGTAAAAGTTACTTTTTGTCTTTATATATATATATATATATATATATATATGTGTGTGTGTGTGTGTGGTGTGTGTGTGTGGGGGGGGGGTTTGTGTGTGTGTGGGTTTGTGTGTGTTTGTGCGTGTGTCTGTGTAGTGTGCATTTGTTGTTGCAGCTGATCCCTGCAGGCATAGGTTGTGAAAGACTTGTCTCTGTAATTGATTCACGGCTTGAACCCGTACCAGTTGTTTAAGGAACCAACCTTTTTAACAGATCAGATCAGGAGCGAATTTCGTGTCTAGAACACTGGCAAATTTATCTCGGAAACAAATGTCATTTCGCGATAACTTTTATTATTGTTTCAACGTGTTCTCTCACACAACCTTCTGCGCACGACTTAAATATTGAAAAATGCAACAAGCCAACTCCTTATTGCGTTAATGTTTAAAAGATGTTCAGATGTGCAAGCATTATTACGAATATAATGTTTGTTTCTCCGTTTTGAATTGTCGCTTGATTTATAAAATTATTTTCAGTATTTTCTTTTGTTTTATTCCCGTAAACTATCCACGTAAAATCACCTGATGAGGATCGGAAAATGTATCGATTAAATCGCCCTGAAAACAAAAACATTACACTTTGAGTACAACAGGCTGAAAAAATATTAACATTACTTCATCAATGAAGTATTAGACCATATATTAATAAAAAAAAAAGAAAAAAAAGGTCCACGCAATTGAATTTGTTGTGAAAATCGAGGGACATAACTTTTTCTTTTAAAAAATAACGTGATGATAAAACCAACCTTGTTTGTCAACTGACGCCAAAGAAATAATGATGGCGATTGAAGTGTAGCGACCCGTTGCTTTTTACACACTCAAAAAAAAAAAAAAAAAAAAGTCACAAAATAAATCTTGGTCAAATCACGTGAGGCAGTCGATTTTTTTTTGTTTTGCGTTGCTTGTCGTTTATCAGACGATAGCACACATCTAACCCGGAAGTGACGTAGAAGTGGGAGATGAAAGAAGAATTTGTTACATACATTGTCGATATATGTTTAAACAATGTATGGACTTATAAAAGAAACACTTGCAAATTTTTTTTGTCCTTTCACATGATGAATTCTTTTTTTTCTTTCTACTTTTTTTGTTTTCTTTTTTTTCTTTTGTTGTTATATAACAATAGATAACATTCGAATAAAAAAATTAATTCGTGTGTAATTTTAACAGTTTTTTTTACACATTCCACAGTAAGCATTTATAGCATATCTGTATCAATCGGTGCATTTTTACGTTTGTCTCAAACAACACACACACACACACACACACACACACACACACACACACACACACACACACACACACACACATATATATATATATATATATATATATATATATATATATATATATATATAAAATAAATTGATATAGCCCGTCATATAGCTCGATAGCTGTATCTCCCTCTGCCAACACGTCATGGGTCAGCGTAGCGGGGTAGGGCTAATTACTTCCCATGTTTGAAATACTTGGGGAGAGTCTGGGTCCTGTAATGGACTGAATATATAACTGAAATAAATAAAATATCTCTCAGTCACTCACTCAGTACCTCAGTCACTCACTCACTTTCCCAAACAGTCACTCTCTCTCTTTAGTCACTCTCTCTCTCTCTCTCTCTCTCTCTCTCTCTCTCTCTCTATATATATATATATATATATATATATATATATATATACACTCTAACAAATATATATACACTTATGTATATGCATGTACACACATATATCTCAAAATACATGCCTACACACGCATATACCTATATATGTATATCTACATTTAAAACTGCTATGTATATATAAAGTGGAGGTATTTAAATAAACTTATAACAGGATGATATACATTTTGAAATAACAGTATGAACCAATATTATATTTTTGTTATTTGCTGATGAGTTTTATCCGATCCGTTTTTGCTGTGTAATGGCCTGCAATTACTTTGTTTGGCAAATACCGCTTCTCTTTTGGTATGTTATTTTACATGATTTAGTTTACATCCCACGCATTTTTTTTTTCATGTTAACCAGCATAATATTCATCATAAAGTCTAAACATCTGTGTTTTGCATGTGTTCTGCTATAAGTTTCTTTAATTTTTCCTTCTGTATCATGACCTCTCCGAGCCGCTTCTGGAGTTCGATCTCAGACGACTTCCACATGACCAATAAATCCTCCTTTGACAAGGCCTCGATTGTACACTCGTCTATCATAGTCGCCGGAAGTAGCGGGCGGACGCCACGCAGAGCGTGGCGCCGTATCGTCGACTTGACCCTATTGTCCTTCATGCGCAGAGAACGCTTGTAATACTCTGAAGGGGTCACCCCCAGCAGGGCAGTGGCGTTATCTTTGGAACCGCAGCAGGACACGCCATCACCGCCCGGCGACGAGTCAGACGTATTGTCTTTTTCGTTATTCTTCGCTAAACTACTGCCGGCCAACACACTACTCTGGCTAGAGTTGGCACTAGATCGTTTCTCCAGCTCCCAATCACATTCCATTTCTTCGTAACTGCGAGTGAAGGTATCAGCGGTTATACCAGTAGCGGCGGCGGCGGCGAAGACGTCCTTATCTTCGGAGTCATCGTCGTCGTCGTCGTGAACGGTCTCTTCGCCGTTGAAGAAGCGTTTCGTGTTAATATTGTCCATGCTACCGCCGGCGTGAAGGTAGCTGTATTTTGGAAGCTGGCGATGGGGAGCGGAGCTGCGACGATGTTGACGCGAATGATGTCGGGGAAGTTTTTCGGTAGGGAGACTGGCACCGACACACTTTACGACGACGACGTCGTCGTCGACGTTCGATTCCATGTCGAGGTTCGTGACGTCACTCTCACGCCATCGCCGTCGTCTGCTACTGCTGCCGCTGCGAATCCACGACGTTTCTCCCTTCATTCGGGCTCCACTTCCACCACCATCACCTCCATTAGCATCACCGATATACCCTCCAATACTAACACTATCAAGTCTACAAAGTGGTATGTCACCTATTTCTCCGACACTGCCGTTTTTGTCTTCGATTCTGCCAAATTCGATGTCATCACATTCACTGTCGTTATCACCTTCATCCGCTCTGCCACAACCACCTACAGCCACACAGGTAGAAAGCGACGTCTCTTCGCTATCTCTACTCGTGAAAGCTGGATTCTCGATGCCACTTTTTATTCTGCACATCTCGACTCTATTAAGGAGAATGTCTTCTTCAGTGACAACCGAATCTTTCGATTTTGAGTTGTCACTAAGTCCTGAGATGAGGGAGTAGTTGACCATTTGGCCGTGGAGGTCCGGTGCCGAAATGTTAGTCACTGACTTGGACGGCCCAGCAGCACCCCCACGCGGTGTTCCGCAGCCGCTGTCAAACTCAAGTTGGGACGAATATTGTGGGGAGATGTCTGATATATCCAGCTGTCTTTGCTCCTCGTCTGTAGTGGTATCCAGGGCATCACAAGCCATAGCAGCCGCATTCTCCTTCCTCTGCGTTCTAAGAAAACATAAAAAAAAATAATTAAAAATAACATTGATACAAGTTTTTTTTATTAACTTAGATGATTTGGCAAAACAATCTGAAGAAAAAAAAAGCGATTAAGCTGGGATGTTTGACTGCGTCATCCATACCCATAAAATCCCACCAGCTTTGAATTATCACATACTAGCAGTAGAGCCCGGCGTTGCCCGGGGATGTGACAGTAAGAGATAGATCAAGTATCGACCATCATAACGACTGAAAAATAAAATTGACAAAGATTATTGTTTAAGGTTGACGGACATGCATGCGTGCCTTAATTAGTTTTTTTTTTTTTTTTTTACGAATTGGTCAAACCCAAACTTAAACAAAAACATTGTTTTCAACCGTTATGAGTCTACCGATTGAATAGAATTTCATTATAAATAATTGCCTTGTAAATGGAATTTTTAAAGTATTCTGAATGTAAAAATAAAGAAAAAAATGTGCTAGACAATAAAAAACACAAGTTTTGTTGAAATCGGTTGAAAAATGTAGGAAATCCGATCCCATATATAAACGAACACACACACACACACACACACACACACACACACACACACACACACACAACCTGGGTTTTATAATAAGTATAACTCGATATGAGTTGTCCCGCTTTCATTCTCGCGATAGCGATGCCTCTTAATCGTGTTTTCAAATTGATTTCGTGCAAAAACAATTGTTTTCCCAATTTTGGGCGCTGTCAGAACCACCGCAAGGTAATTTTACGTAGTCCTGTGAAGTTTTGTTGAAATCGGTTGAAAAATATAGGAAATCCGATCCAATATATAAACGAACAGACACACACAACCTGGGTGTTATAATAAGTATGATTTTGCTATAGTTGTTTAATGCCGCATATTCACAAACAAAGAAACTCCAGTTTCCAACCTTTTAGCTTTTGCTTGCGTCAAAAACGCTAGAAGTTAATTAGGCGAAGATTAAAGAAATTTGTTTTTGGACTAATTGCTAACACCGACAATTATGTCATTGACTAATTGAATGAAATTTAATTATATTTGAATCTGATTTTATCACCTTCTACAGAAACGCAACACGCAAGAAATATTTCTATTTTTTCTTCATATTATTATTGAATAAGTTCAAGAATATAAAAAAAAGGAAAAAAAAAAACAATTCTAAATTTTAAGATTGGGTTCGGTGTGCTATGTAAAATCATTATAAATTGACCCTTCCTAGAAAATAAAAACAAATGCAAAAAGAAATAAAAAAAATGCTTATACCAACTGATAAATCACATTCTTACCTTACCTTTCATTTCCCCGAATTTAATCAATGTCGAGCCTGGTCAGTACTTAGACTGGTGACTGCTTGGGAATACCAGGTGATGTAAGTTTGGATAATGGATCGGCATTGTTAACTGGATAGCCGAGTTTCAATTTCCGTTGGGTTTGTTCTATTCACATACGCATATATACCCTTGGAAAATGCAGAAATCTCATCATCCTGCGGCCTCAGCCGAGATTGAACTCACTACACCTCTCCAGTATTCCCTATCCGTCATAGCTCCTAAAAGATCTTCCTTAGGGATCAATGTGTCTCGTTTTATCCTATCTGGAAAGGTTAACTTGCGTGATCGATTGTCAGATGATGGGTGCCTCCAGAGTACAAATGATGACACAAGTTCATCTGTGGCACGTGCACAATGCTCGGCGAACTGGACACGTCTCTTGCAAACTAAGGTTGATACTCTCGGCAAGTCACCATATATCATTTCTAGAGTTGGGCGGTTTCGCCATGAGAGATTAAGCACTCTTTTTAAAAGACGTGTATAACATCCATCTAAACGGCACTGTTGTTTTGCTGAGAGAGTCCAAGTTTCAGAGCCATAGAGTAAGATTGGCTCAATAAGTACGCGGAAAAGTTGGATTTTGAATTGACGAGCAAGATTGGATTTCCAGATCTTATCCATTTTGTTACAAGCAGTCCATTCTATGCCTTTTCTAATGTTGAAATATTTCTTAGAGTTCTTGATGTGTAATCCTAGATACTTGTAGTCTTCGACACATTTGGGGATGTTATCTGAGAGTGTTTTGATCCCATGATTGTTGCGAATGTTAATTGGCATACACTCAGTTTTGGTTTCATTTAGGTGTAGACCTGCACAGTTAGCTGCTGATTCAAGAGAAGAAAGGAGTGCTTGGGCACTAATGAGGTTGTCAGACAACAGTGCAATGTCATCAGCATTTTCTTTGATTGTGTCCACTGATATACGCATGAACAGGAATCTACCTCTTCTCCCCAAGCTATAGGTTAATTAGTAAGATTTGTATCCCTAAAACCATTATTATCTCAAAAAAATTCTTACAATCTAAAAATATTTTCTGGTTTTAAATAACCTGCAAAGGGTTGATAAGCCGTAAAAAACGAATCAATCGATCGATCAAAATAATACTTCCACAATACAATGTCATACACTTTTAAAATAACCTCGAAATAATAGGAATTTAAGGCATATTCTTACTTGCTCTTTATTAATATTATTATTATTATTATTATTATTATTATTATTATTATTATTATTATTTCCTTTGATTTCTGTTGTGTACACATTTCTTTCTGGGTCCCGCCTTGAGACATAAGGTTAAAAATGGCATTATGATATTTTCCAATGACCAATTAAAAAAAAAAAAATACAAACATATTTTACACCGATAAAGCCCTTCGTAAGGTGTGGGCTGTACTCGTGAGAACAATTTTTTTTAAATTTCTTTAAGGTATCCTTTCAATTAGTTTACTGGAATCTTTTCCAACCAATCCGAGGGCTCCAACTGCAACAGGAATTGTTGATGTTCCCATGTGTCACATTTTTGAGATTTCAATTTCAAGGTCCTTATATTTTGATAGCTTTTTGAAGATCTTCAAAGATACATTGCAATATGCAGGGACTGCCATATCAAGAAGGAGGCACGTCTTTGTTTGCGGTCTCTAATAACAATGTCTGGGCAGTTAGCTTTGATTGTTCTGCTTGTGTGTATTGTGTAGTCCCATAAAATTGTAACAGGTCCTATCTCCGTAACCGGGTCTGAGTGGTATTCATACCAATTTCGTACAGTTTCCTTCCCGTAGAAGTTGCAGATTTTCCAGTGCAGATATTGGCCCACTCTGTCATGCCGGGTTTTATATTCAGTGGGTGCCAATGCCATGTAGCCTGATACAAGATGATCAATTGTTTCTGGATATTTATCACAGATTGTGCATTTTGGGCTAACACAATATTTTAGTATATGTGCTTGATAATTTCTAGTTAACAAGCATTGGTCCTGTGTAGCAAGAATAAAACCTTCAGTTTCAGCTTTTAACTTTGCACTACGTAGCAACTGATAGGTACGGGGTTTGTCTATATCAGCTTGTTTGGTATGAGCAGAGTATTGGCCAGGAAGCGGTTTATCTTGGCATTGTTTTCTTTATCGGGTTGGTTGCATTTTTCTTTGCTTTATTTAAAAATGTATTTTGCAGCTTCAAACGGTGTATCGTGCTTTACTTGTATTTCTTGTTTTGAAATTCCATTTTGAACTTGTTTTATTATTAT